GGCGAGGAGGGCGGAGGGCGGGGCCGCACCTGACGGCTCCCGTGGCCCCGCCTCTCGTAGGCCCCGCCCCCGAGCCCACCGCCCGTCAGTCCACGCGGACCCGCGGCCATCTTGGTAAAGGAAGCCAGGCCTGCCATTTTAGTAAAGGCGCGGTTTCCCTTTCTCTTCTTTCATTCATTCCGCACACCTATACTGAGCGCCATTTATGTGCCAAGCTCGGGGCTAGACGTTAGACAGCACCCAGGCTCTGCCCTCGTGGAGCTTACAATCATTCGGTCCACACACTTTAAGCCTGCCATGGCCCAAGAGCTGCTGAGGGTGCTAGGACTAGAGAGGCTGGCAAAACTTGTGTAACCCTTGCTCTCTAGGCGGTGGATAAGCAACCAGTAAAGAGCAAATGAATAAATTAGCTGAAGAAAGGAGGAGTGTTGTGAGGGCTATGAAGGAAACAAATACTCAGAACTAGAGAGGAAATGGAGGGGAGGGAAAGAAATGTAAACTGAGGTCTAAAGGAGGAAATCAGATGTGGGCGGCAGGATCACAGCCAAAGGAACAGCAACTTCAAAGGCTCGGTTTGGGCAAAGAATGGAGAAGGGTGAATTCCTGTTCTTACACCCAACCCACTTTACTTGCAAAAGTGCTGATTTAAAAAAAAAAAAAAAAGCATTGGGAATGGCAGGTTATGTGGAGGCTGGTGTGTTGGACTCGCACATGGTCGACCATGGTTGATTCCCAGACCTAGCGGCTTGCTTTCTCACTTTCTCTCTACCTACCTACCTATCTATCTGTCTATCGCTGGTCAAAGTAAATAATAATAAAGTTAAATAAACAATTAAAAAAAAAAAAGCAGAATCAGGAAACACCCCCCAAAGCAGGTGAGGTTGAGCCTGAGGGTGTGCCTACTACAAAGATTGGAGTAAATCTATATAACCTCGTGACTCTTAAATGTGAAGTGAATCAAAATCACCCAGAAGGGGATTGCTATGCCACTCTGGCAGTTTCCCATCTGGTAGGTTAAGGGTATGGCTTAATAATTTGCATTTCTTTTTTTTACATGGCTAAGTTTTTTTTAAAAGGGTTATTTTATTTAACTTTATTTATTTATTTTAATTTGACCAGAGAGGGACAGAGTGAAAGAGAGAGAAGGAAAGTGAGGAAGCAAGCCACCAGCTCCAGGACTGGAACCATGGTCGGCCATGTGGGAGTCTGATACCCTTAACCACCATGCCACCTGCTGGCCCCAATAATTTGCATTTCTAACAAGTTCCCAGGTGATGCTGGTGCTGCAGGTCTGGAAACTACATTTGGAAAACCATAGATATATTGCAACTCATTACCACAAAAAGCACAGTTTTCAATTTCTTCTATCAATTATTAATTGTTACCCGCTAAGTGACAACCACTGTTCTGAGATTCTGTGCTGAGCAAAACATGTACTAGTGCCCTGCTATGGCTTTGATGATAGTCTGAGCCTCTGCACAGTTCTGTTCAGGAATTTGGTCGCCACCATAATGGGGAAGTAGTGAGACCTAGTGGGCAGTGATTGGATCATGGAGACATCACTCTCATTAATGGATTAATGGTGTCTTGGGAGATTTAGTGAGTTCTGGAGCTCCAGAGAAGGGATTAGTTCCTAAGACTGCAGGTTGTTCTAAAAGGAAGATGGCTGCCCCAGGTCTCTTTCTCCATGCTTCAGCTTTCCTCTTTACTTATGTTCAGTGTGTTGCAATGTAGCTAGGCTAGTACCAGCCACCTGCCTTTGGACTGTCCAGTTACCAGCATCATAAGCCAAATAAACTTCTAGTCTTTATTAATCATCTAGTCTCGGGTATTTTTGTTAGGACACAGTTGCAGACTAAGACAGGTTCTTACGGACTTTGGAGATTAATTATTGTTAAAGTATTATGCAATAATCAACCAGCTATAATTTTAATAACAGCAATAAGGAGAAAATATAAGCCACTAAGATGAGGGTTAAGAGTCAAGGAATCTAAACAAATATAAGGGGTTGGGATAGAAGAGGGGGTCACAAAGTAACATATTTAAACTGTGATTTGAAAGACGAGTTAGAGCTTGCTAGGCAGAGAGGAGATATAGAACATTCAATACCGTAAAAACAGTATGTACAAGAGAAGCCATGTCAGTAGAGAAACAGATACATCAGAACAGAGGCCAAGTCACTTATCCTTTCACAGCCTAGTTTAGTGGGATGAGCAAATGCTTTTTGGGATGAGATGCATTTGGAGTGAAATCAGCACTTAAATTCGCTAGCAGAGCATCCTGAGCAAGTGACTATCAAAGTCTTGGTTTCCTCATTATGTAATTGGGTGAGTCACCTCAGACTCACTTAAGACTTTGGCTCATGAAACTCCTATAACTGGACTTCCAGAAACAGGTCAGCTTCAGGCTGGGTGTGATGGGAGGCCTGACTCTGTTGCTCCAGGATGTTCTTGGTTCTGCTCTCCTCGATGTACAAGGCTTTCAGGAACATCCAGGGCCACAAACTTCCCCATTTACCCAGCAAGGAAGAGCACCTTCCACGCTCTACCTCCAACCAACCATCCACCACCCACGTGAGTCCATAACCATCTTGGTAAAGAGAGCCAGACCTGCCTTTTTAGTAAAGGCTATACCTTTTCTCATGTCCTTTCTCATAGCAATTAGCTTTATCCTACTGGACCTAATTGGCCTAGACCTGCTCAACCCCCTGAGCTAGCCACAGTGAAGATGGATGGGATTGTTAGGATTAGCTTAGAGATTCCTCCCTGGAGTTTCTTTCAATTTCTCAGAATAAACCGGACCTTGTGGAGTCACCAGATCATACCTTCATTACCAGACTGGGAAGAAGATTTTTTTTTTTTAAGAGAAAGATTTTTTTGCTATAAGGTGTGTGCACTTACCAGAGAGACAGAGAATGACAGAGAGACAAAAATGCAAGAAATCACCCTCTCCTCCAGGGAGAATGGCCACCCCACAATTCCTTCTCCTCCATTCTTCCCTCAGGGTACTGGGAACATACACACGCACACCTGATGTGAATTTTAAACCACCAGATCCGGGACTCAAACCCAAGTCTACTACATAGAAGTCCAGCGATGTTACCATTACTTCATCTGCTGGTCCCATGAGATAAAGATTTGATGTACATTAAACATCTGGCATGTAAGGCATGCAATGAATCACAGCTATTATTATTTTTACTCCGGGGATTTTGTCCAAGTCAACTAAATAGCAGTTTGTTATTAATATTAATCTCAAGCCTGTCTTATTCCAAAAAAAGATTCAAGGCTGCTATTACATTTCATTGGCACTGTAAGAGTGGCCCCCTTCCATCTCCTCCTCCCCATTCCTGTTGCTATTGCTTGGTTCTCATTCATTGAGTTACATATTCAACAAACATTTAGTGAGTTAGCATCAACTTTGCACTAGGCATTCTGCTAAAAACTAAGAATTCCAAAATGAAAAGGATGAAGGTAAATCGTTCATAGCTTGATATCAACAACAGCCATGCAATCGATTACAGCTCAGTTGAAGAGGTGCTATAATAGAGGTATGTACAAATTTTCTAAGTATACGAAGACATGGGAAAGGAACAACTAGCTATGGAGGGGAGGCGGCTAGTTGGAAAGCTGAACAAAGATAGTGGTAACCTTTGGGTTTGTTTGTTTGTTTTTAAGAATTATTTTATTTAACTTTAATTATCCATTTATTTTAATTTGACCAGAGAAGGACAGAACAAGAGCGAGAGCAAGCAAGCTGCCAGGTCCAGGACTCGAACCAAGGTCAACAATGTGGATGGCCAGCGCCCCCAACCACCACACCATCTGCTGGCCCCTGGGTTTGGTTTTAATGGATGATTATACATTCACCTATCTGCTACAGTCTTCACTCCTTTTCCACTCCAGGCTATCCTTCACTGTGTCAGGACTCTTTGCATTCCAAGTGACAAGGTTGAAACCCTAGAGTTAGGACTCTGTCATGAGGAATAAAGGAAATACATTGTTGCATGTTTAAAAAAAAAAAAAATCATCCTGGGGCTAGTAGTTGGCATGGTGGTTAAGAATGCTGGACTCCCACATGGCTGACTGTGTTTCGAGTCTCTAACCTGGTGGCTTGCTTTCTCACTTTGTCTCTCTCTCACTCTGTCCCTCTGTGGTCAAATTAAAAATAAATAAATAAAGTTAAATATAATAATTTTTAAAAATCATCCAAAGACTTGGGTGGATTTCAAACATGGTGGATTCCACCTGAAATAATATTATAGAATTTAATCTCTCCCCATTGTTGGATTTGCTTCCTTGACTGAGATTTCTTTATTCTACATGGTAGATTCTGGGATATCCAGGCTTTATCCACTCCCAGGATGAAGCCTGATAGAGGGGACAGGTTGTCTCTCTTACAAAAGTATTTGGAAAACAATTCCATTGCTTTTGGTTGGGTCCCATGTCCACACCTTAATCAATCTCGGTAGCTAGAGAAACAAGATGATTGATTGGCTAGACCTAGTTCTTTCACTGACCTCTTTGAGTCCCACCACTGCTCTTTGAGGCTACCAAATCTTGGAGAATTCTCCCATTTTGCAGATGAGGAAAGAGTTGGTTGGTTTCTCAAAGAGTAAGAATGTCACTTAGACATTGTCACATAATATCAATTTAATGAAATAATTAAGAAAAGGTAAATGTCTGTA